GTTAAAAAGAAAAGGAAATTGATATTAATCTCACAATGGTCAGATTATTTAATATATATCTTAAGGATATTAGGAGATTTAAGGAAATTAGGAGACAATATATTTCCTTTTTTTCTTCTTCATCCCAACGGTAACAAAATATTTTCTTTCACAATTATTAACTTTCAACAATTTTGTAAGAGTTATTTAAAGACAAGTATTTTGGATGATTTGGAAATACCAGAAATTTTGAAGTAATGAAAGGTATTTTCTTCCAATCAATGGAGTAATTTTAGGTTTTTCCCCCCAATTTTCAAATAAAAGCTGAGAATTTTAGAAAAATATCCATTTTGGTATATCCATTCTCAAAAATACACATTTTATTTATCCATTTTCAAAAATATCCTTGTTTAAATATGAAAAATTATAAAATTTTATATAGTTTATAAGAAGATACTTCTATATAATAATTACTAATGGGAGATTCGATACAAATATTTTATAATGGTTTTAAAGATTTTAAATTGTTTTTACAAGTTTTACAAGGTTTTTTAAAAGGTCTTTTAAAGTTGTTTTTACGCTATTTATGGAAAGATATATAAAATTTTGTATACATGAAAAAGTAATTTGTGTGTATATTTATAAGCCTATATATATATTTGGATAAATTTCAACATTTTTAATGGTCTTTTGATAAAGTTTTAAAATAGGGTATTTTCAGGTATTTGAAAAAGGGTATTTTTGAAATTCTTTCATAAAAGTTAGATAATTGAAATTATTTTTCCTCATGCTAATTAAATACCGTTTTTCTCTCAAACTATATATAATTTTCTCTCAAACTACATATCAACCTTATAATATGTTTTTAGATCGGTTAATGAAGGTTTCAATTGTTGCTTAATAAAAAATTCAGTATAATATTTTGGATGTTAGGTCTAGTTTGTTTTCAATGTATTTAAATTTAACACTTCAAGTTTTTAAAATATTTTATATGTAATGATAAATTTTAGTTAAAAATCTGAATAATTTACTTAAAATAATATTTATAAAAAACTTTAAAATATTTTATATGTAATGATAAATTTTAGTTAAAAATCCGAATAATTTACTTAAAATAATATTTATAAAAAACTTTGAAGCTTCTAAGTGTCAAATTTACAATACGTAAAAACATGTTGAACTTTTACACCAAACTTACGGACCACAAAGGGACTGGATGCTAGGTCCGGTTTGTTTTTCAACGTATTGTAAATTTAACACTTAGATTCAACAAAATATTTGAATCATTTGGTAAAAAACTTTGATATTTAGTTTTAAACCATAAAATTCAGAAGTGAAAAATACATTTTTTTTTTTTTTACTTTTTGTATACTTTTAAATCAAAATCATTATTCTTAATTTTTTTTTAAAAAGACAAGACAGTATATACTATAAAATTCAGAAGTGAAATACATCTTTTTTTTTACTTTTTGTATATTTTTAAATCAAAATCATTATTCTTAATTTTTTTTAAAAAAAATATTAAAGTATATAGTATATATAGTATAATACCTGACAAGACTCTTGGTGGGTGGTCGTTGTGTAATTTGAAACCACAAACGAGAAAGCTACCTGTTTGTTACAAAACAAACCCATGAGAATGAGAGATGTCATCTTTTAGTAAACATGACACAATTTTTAATTCTCCAAACCAAATTAAAAGATAACGAGTAGTACGAACCCTGCTTAATACCTTGAGATAGTAACCAAAGAAAAGAAGAACATGAAATGTAAGAACTTACCCACTCAGGTTTGTGATCCAAGCAATTTGATGGATGGAAATGAGCCACCTGTATGCCAAACCAAGAATTTTAACCATGAGATGAAACACAAAGAGAATAATGTTTAAATGGAAACAACAATATAAACTGAATTAGTCTAGACATACTTGGTGGTTGTCTTTGACTGTCAAGTAATGGCCACTGTGTTCTAAGTAAGCATGGCCTTCGTTATGTTGATGTAGTAGTTACAATCAGTGCTGCACATTTTCAGGTTGAACCTTGACATTAACCGGACTAGCTGTTGTAACGTTGTCTGCAGATTACATTGGTCTATTGTTGATGAAGTTTTCACATCACCAATTGGGATCTTCATCTGTGAGAAATTTACATTGAAAAATTAAGTTAGTTAAGGTAAATTTTAATTGTTAAAAGCAGCTATAATACAAAAGAGGAAGAGAAAGGGCTAACACATACTGTTTTGCTTAAAAGGTAAACGTTCAACAATGTGAGGTGATCTCCATTATCTCCAACCTAGCTTTAGCTTCATCTGCTGCTTTTTGAGCCTCTCTTGGTCGAATAAAGCAATTCGGTACTAACGAAAGAATTGGTATTTATAACAGAAGAGGCATCAGCAGATGCATAGAGGCAATGAGACTAATACCATTTGCTTCATGAAAGAGAATAACTGAGAAACTGCAGCTACTATATTCATCAGCACTTACTTAGGATATGCAGAACCCAGACTAGAGACTGTTGATGATAAACCTAACTCTAATACTTAATTCTAAATGATAGTGATACATAAGACAGAAAAAGATGAGTTCTACTGCACATTAGACTAGTTGCAGAATGGAATTTGTAGCAAGTTTAAAAGCCTAACCTTAACTACATACCACACCACAACTAGCAAGAATATATAAAAACGAAAGTAAGGGTGTACCTGAAAGCATGGCTGAAACGTTTGAGCAGTTGAATTTAAGACTGACTATGAGCATGTTCACCATCTGTGGATCCAAGGGGAACTCACTCACTCAATATATCACATGTCTTTGTCAAGTTACCTTCATCATCCAGTGCTCCCAAGTAATTCAAAACTTGTAAGGCTCGCAGCAACGTTTCTGGAGCAGGGTATCCAAAAAACCGAAGAGCTTCACTAGGTCATCAGTACTGTGTTTGCAAGGTTTGAGGATAGGTCTGCGGCTGCAAGTCATTACTGAAACTCTTCCCTGTATAAAGCTTGTAAAAACTCTTCTCTAGTGAGCAGCACTTGACTTTGAAATAGGATTCTTGGGTCGCAAGACTATGGACTCAAAAGTATCAACACTTTTGAGGAGCGGGTCCGCCATTGCTTCTCTCAGTAGCAAACCATCAGTCAAGTACCTGGTCATATATAATGTAACACATGATGAGACACTTAAGTACATATAAGATTATAAAGAAGAGAAGCTAAAGAAAGACAATGCTTTACTTAAGCACAGTTTCGTGGTCCTCAAAACGAAACGCTGTAATGAACCAACTTCTCCCCCAATAGTTCTTCAACAACACGACGAGACTCAGACATGACTACAACTCTACGAGGCTGTCCTGTGTGCATCCACAACATCTGGGATTTGTACAAATACGCAAAATTTACAATTAGCTATTCATTCTCTAGACACTAAACATCATGTGATCTCTAATTAAATTATTCATAATAAAATTCAAATCCAAATCAAAAAAAAAAACAGAGGACTATTACGAACCTACGAACACGATTCGTCTCTTCACGTACTTTTGAATTTCTCCGTAGTCTCTCGTGTAAGCGTACGTCTCCGTCGCTAGATTCAATACCTGGTGAAACGAAATATATACAAGAAGATGAGGATCAATGGAGATTGATGTATCATTCAATCAATGAAACGAAATATATATATAAGAGGGCTTTTAAAAATACCTCGCTCGAGTCTCTCGGTGAAAGCGTCTCCGTGGCTGAAGAAGAAGAAGAAGAAGAAGAAGAAGAAGAACAGAGGAACGATGGAGATCGATCTGATAAATCATTCAGTCAATTAAATAAAACGATGATATAAAAATACTTACTTTGCGATTCCAATCTTACCCTTACCGATCATCATCATCGCCTCAGATTCTACTTGGACGGATCATCATCATCGGAATTTACAGAGATTATGTATGTATAAGAACATTCGAGAAGAGAAGAGAAGAGAACCAAACTACTGCATCATTAGGGTTTATCTCGAATGAAGTAAAGAAGCGTTGAGTTTAAGACTTGAGAAAGAGAGAGAGATGTTATATAAAGAAACAAATTAAATTAAAGAAAAGGAAATTGTATATTAATCTCTCATAACGGTCAGATTAATAATGGAAATTTCGTTTCTGTTATTTCCTTTTTCTTCTTCATAGCAACGGTAACAAAATATTACCCTTTTTCTTACAGTCAATAATTTTGTAAGAGTTAAAGTTCAAGACAAATAAATGGATCATTTGGAAAAAGAAAAATTATTTTTTCTCATGCTGACTAAATATCGTTTTTTTCTCTCTAACTGTATATATATTTTTCTCTCAAACTACAAATCAACCTTATAATATGCTTTATATATTTTTCTCCCAAACTACAAATCAACCTTATAATATGCTTTTAGATCGGTTAATGAAGATTCCAATTGTTGCTTCATAAAAAATTCAGTTTAATAAGTTGGATGTTAAGTTTAGTTTAATTTCAATGTATTTAGATTTAAAGTTTTTAAAATATTTATATATAATGATAACTTTTAGTTAAAAATCCAAATAATTTATTTAAAATAATATTTATAAAAAAAAACTTTGAAGCTTCTAAGTGTCAAATTTACTTAGATTTCAAGTTTTTTAAATATTTATATACTGAATAATGATAACTTTTAGTTAAAAATCCAAATAATTTATTTAAAATAATATTTATAAAAAAACTTTGAAGCTTCTAAGTGTCAAATTTACAATACGTAAAAACATGTTGAACTTTTACACCAAACTGACGGACCACAAAGGGACTGCATGCTAGGTCCGGTTTGTTTTTCATCGTATTGTAAATTTAACACTTAGATTCAACAAAAATAATTGAAATTATTTGGTAAAAAAACTTTGATATTTAGTTTTAAACCATAAAATTCAGAAGTGAAATACATATTTTTTTTTACTTTTTTTACTTTTTTGTTATCCATTTTTTTTTCACTTTTTGTATACTTTTAAATCAAAATCATTATTCTTAATTTTTTTTTTTTTTTTAAAGATAAGAAAATATATAGTATACCTGACAAGGCTGATGTCTTGAGTATCCTGAAGGGATTTGGTGGTCATTCTGTAATTTGAAACCACAAACGAGAAAGCTAACTGCTTGTTACAAAACAAACCCATGAGAATCATCTTGTAGTAAACATGACACAATTTTTAATTCTCCAAACCAAATTAAAATACGAGGATTATTACGAACCTTGCTTAATACCTCGAGATAGTAACCAAAGAAAAGAAGAACAGGAAATGTAAGAACTTACCCACTCAGTTTTGTGATCCAAGACATTTAATGGATGGAAATGAACCACCTGCATGCCAACCAAGAATTTTAACCATGAGATGAAACACAAAGAGAATAATGTTTAAATGGAAACAACAATATAAACTAAATTTGTCTTGACATACTTGGTGAGTTGTCTTTGACTGTCAAAGTAATTAATGGCCACTGCGTTGTAAGTAAGCATGGCCTTCCTTATGTTGATGTAGTAGCTAAAACACCAGTGCTGCACATCTTCAGGTTGAACCTTGACATTATCTATCCGGACTAGCTGATGTATAACATCTCGTCTGCAGATTTCATTGCTTTATTGTTGATGAAGTTTTCATAGCACCAATTGGGATCTTCATATGTGATAATTTACATTGAGAAAGTTAGTTACGGTAAATTTTTATTGTCTATAAACAAAAAGAGGAAGAGAAAGGGATAATCACTTGCTGTTTTGCTTATAAAGTGTGGTAGAAGTTCAACAATGTGAGGTAATCTCTATCAATGTGTCCAACCTAGCTTTAGCTTCATCTGCTACTCTTTGAGCCTCTCTATGTCAAATAAAGCAGAGAAAGAATTGGTATTTATAACAGAAGAGGTCAGCAGATGTATAGAGATTGATATATCATTTGCTTCCTGAGAAAGAATAACTGAGAAACAGCAACTAGTATCTATCTGCATCAGCACTAACTTAGGATACCCCAGACTAGAGACTGATGATGATAACCTAACTCTAAATGACAATCACTACATACCTAACCAAAGCTAGCAAGAGTATTTTTTGAAAAAAAGAAAGTATGGGCGTACCTGAGAGCACCACCACGTCATCAATACAAGGTCAGAACTGTGTTTGCAAGGTTTGATATCGAATATTTAAGGATACGTCTGCGGCTGCAAGTCATTACTATAACTTTTCTCTGTATAAAGCCTGTAAATCCTCTTCTCTGGTGAGCAGAAGGCTATGGACTCAAAAGTATCAACACTTTAAGGACTTCTCTCAGGAGCATACCATGAGTCAAGTACCTGGTGTTATTAAGTAACACATGATTAGATACATAAGATTATAAAAGGAGAGAAGCCAAAGAGTGACAAACAATGCTTACTTTAAGCAGGCTTCTGGGATCCTCAAAACCAACAACTTCTTTCTTCCACAATAGTTCTTCAGAACCATGACGAGACGCTACACAAACATGGCTGCAAATCTACGAGACGCTACAGAGACATGGCTACAACTCTACGAAGATGTCCTGTGTGCATCCAACCAAACCACTTCCTACGCTTATCCAATGTTTCTGCATCCACAACCAATTTATAACAATTCGTAGGGTTTGTAAAAACAAACAAAACATACCATTAAGTCTCTCTAAGACACTAAACATCATCATCTCTAATTTAAACCATTCCTAATAATAAGTCTAGATATCAAATTCAAATCCAAAGAAGAGAGAGGACTACTACGAATACCTCTCGCTCGATTCCTCTCTATACTTTTCAATTCCGTCGTAGTCAGTCTCGGATTAAAGCGTCGCCGAAGCTAGATTCAATATCCGGTTGAATCGGTATTGATTAAAGACTGAAGAAGAAGAAGAAGAAGAAAACAGAGGAGGATCGATGGAGATGGATCATTCAATCAATGAAACGAAACGATGATATAAAAATACTTACTTTCCAATCTTACCCTTACCGATCATCATCATCGCCTTGGATTCTACTTGGACGAAACATCATCATCGGAATTTACAGAGACTCCGTATGTATAAGAACATTTGAGAAGAGAAGAGAACCGAACTACTGCATCATTAGGATTAAGAAAAACATGAAAATATTTATTGATTTACTTTTCGTTTTAGGGTTAGAAGAAGAAGAAGAAAGAGAGAGATATTAAGAAGTTCTAAAGAAAAAGGAAATTGAGTATAAATCTAATAAGTCATAACGGTCAGATTAATAATGGAAATTTCGTTTCTGTTATTTCCTTTTTCTTCTTCATCGTAACGGTAACAAAATATATATATATTTTTTTACTGTTTACAAAACTACAACAGTCATCTTTCAATAATTTTATAAGAGTTAATAAATTTCAAGAAAAATATTTGGATGATTTGGAAAAACTTCTTAACTTAAAAGATAATTTCTAAGCAGTACAGTTCATAAACTTTCAAATTTAAATATTCAAACATGCAATTCACAATATATCAAGTTTTTTATACGTTATAAATTAGTACTGTATTCTCAACCGTTAAGACTTAAGATTTGAACGGTAACATATATTCTCATATATAAACCGAGAATTTCAAATACGGATCGAGTCGGGTCAACACGGTTCGGGTTTGATACCGGTTTAATCATAATTTTTAGAACACATTAAAATTTAGTTTAAATGGCAAAAATCGAAACAGAGCAATTTGAGCAAAATCAATGGAGCAGAACCCTAAAAAAACCCAGAGGTCATGGCGCTTCACATGGGAAGCTCAATCTCATTCTCCAAATCTTCGTCTCTTTCTTTTCGATTCCACAACCAACCCTAAAAGCCACTGCAAAAGCCTCAATGTATCAATAATCCTCGAAAAATCTCAACTTCTCGTCACATGGATCGATGGCGACGAAGACGATGAAGAAGCCACAGGCAAAGAAGAGATTGTTGTTTCTCTTCGCGTTCCTGTTCCTAGGGTGTTGTTAGATGCTGAATCCCCTGTAAATTTCAAAGCTTTAGACGATTACATCGAGGTTAGACTTGTTCTGCTACTCCCCGTTGATCATCCCCTAGTCTCAGACTTCAGTTTAGCGATTGATTCTAAGGAAAATTCGGCGCCTTTAGTGATGGGTTATGATCTCAAGACTCTGTCTTTGATGGGAGGAGTTCATATTTATTGTAGAAATTGCTCGTTTAGGTTGACAAAGGAGGAGCTTTTCGATTTTTCTGAAATGCCGTCTATTAACTGGCGAGAATCTGCTGATAATTGGTTTGGTACTTGTTGTTGTTCGTTTGGTGGGATTAGTGAGAAGATGGTTGTTAAGTACACGAATTCGTATACTTGCTCTAGTGGGTTGTGTTTACTTAGTGCTACTACTGTTTTGCTTAGCAAGGATGATCTTGTAGAGTGTTGTATCTTGTCTGATGGAACTGGAAACCAAATTGAATCGAGTTTAGTTCTGAGTTGTGATATTGGTGGAGGTGAACTGGGTTCTGGCAGTAGTGAAGAAACTTTTGATGTGAGCCATGAGAATGGAGGTGAGAGTGTTTGTGGTAAAGTTGATGACTTGAAGCAGCCTTGTTTAGATAAGGCATCAATGCCTGGGTGTTGTGTGCATGAATCGCATGATTCTAATGGGAGTTTTCAGTTGGAGCAGGAGCTTACACTAGATAAGAAGTTGCTTCTTGATGGTTTTCTCGAGGATGTTTTTATGGCAAAGGCATCGAATGTTTCAAAGAATGTTGACTGGATTGAATTTGCTTGCCCTGAGTGTTCATCCCCTCTTGGAGCATATCCTTCTGGCGTTGGGAGTAACGGTAAACCCATAGATGGTGGAATCAGACTCTTCAAATGTTATATTTCTACATCATCGGTGTCCGGTGGATCCTCTGATGTTTTCAGGAAGTACACATTGGAAAGAATGTTTACCAATCAGCTAGTGGAATGCGCCAAAGAAGAGTTATCATTTGCTGTGTTGGTCAAAGATCTGACTACTAAATCGCCTTTGTTCCAGATCGTTATCCTGAATCCAAACTCTTGGTCCTCCACCGGTCTTTGCTCGAACCGAGATGAACCTGTTTCTACATTAGAGTTAAGCCCTGTTGTGAAGGTTCTGATTTCTGATTGCAGCAGCTCGGTAGTGAAGAAGATTGATGAAGAAGTGTACATTTTGAAGGGACAAGGAGAGGAGCTGATAGAGTTATTAACAAATGCGAGCAAATGTCTTCCATCTTCGTGTTCGTATCTTCAGGGCTCACACGTCTCATCGATGCATCTATAATACTGAATATTTTTTTTCACTTTCTCGAGCTTAGTCTCTGGCTCAGTTTTGACTTGTATTAGATATTTGGTTATAAGCTCGTTTGCTTGTTTGTTCGTTGACAATTGAGCGGAAGGAATAATTCTTGTCACATTTATAATAAATTAATAACTATTAACAATAGAGATATTGTTTGTTGAACCCATTTGATATATTTTATTATTATTTTTGAAAATATGTAATTTAATGTATACACATTTTTTAGATAAAGTATATAAATAGTTTTTTGATGTAAATATTTTTTTGGAAAAAATGTATAATTTCTTTCATCTTAGTTTTTATTTACTTTCTCACTTGAAAGCTTTTGTAATATGATTTTTCCTTTATTTAATATATAATTTTAAATTAGTTATAGTCAATTAATAAAATTTTCTGGTTTAAAAACATTATTATCGTTAGGATTGATCTCTAACACCAACATTATTCATCATCACCAATTTTATTGAGTCGTCATCTCCTTTATTTTTCTCCTAGCACTCTTACTATCATTATATCCACTATCATTTTTAGAAAAACCTGTCTTTCATGTCTTCTGAATCATCTTTAGTACATATATTTTTTTTAATTCTTATAGCCATTTATATTGTGATAATGCAATAATTACTAACAATAGAGATATTAATATAACTCATTAAGATTCATAAATTATTTTTCCATTGGAATGTTAGATCCTACATTCTTAAATCACATATAAGATTTTCAAAAATTACAAATATTTCCATGGTTTGTGTCGTGTCCATAAAATAAGATAAGCTTAAATTGCTAATCTAAGGGGAATGTATTCAAAGTAGCATTTTAAGAGATTTGAGTTTTATTGAGATTTTGATGATTTTAGGGAACTTCATATGATTTATGTAAAATCCTATCAAATCCCACCTAAAACTATGAGATTTGGATTATTGTATTTTTAAGAAAATAAGTTCTCTGAAATCGTCTGAATCATTTAAAATCAAATCCACAAACTGTTTTCAATAACAATGGATTTTAAGGTGGATTTTAAAATGATTAGTTCAATAACACTGGATTTCATGGAACTTTTTAAAATCCATGATTGAATAACATAGAAATTTGAAATTTTTTTATAAATCACTTAAAATTCACTTTGAATACACCCCCTAAACATACAATTTTACTTGTATTTTCTTACTACCAAAAATCGTTTAACTTTCTAATAAATAAATCATATAAAACCCCTACCTTAAAATAATAGGTAGAATATTATACTTTGAAATCGCAGGTACTAATTAAGTTCAAGTCTTCTATCTCCTATATGCATACTTTGTACAATCAAATTACCAAAAATTCCTTTAACATCATATTACAAAAAAATATGATAATAATCAAATTTGTTTTATATAAACCATGCTAAAGAACCTATTGATTCTAATAATATGTGGAAATTGGTGGAATAAATACTTCATCCAGTTCATGAAGATCGATTTTTCAATTTTTGTTTTACAATTCTCCTATGTACTATTATAGTATTGATTAATGTTAATAAGTATAAATTTCAAAATATTCATGGAAGGTACTTATTATTTAATATAATAAAGAATTTTTTTCACAGCTACCATTAAAATAAAGTTTCCAAAAATACTATTGTTAGTTTTATTTTTCAAAATACCACAAAACTATAATTAAAACTAAATTTTTAAGATTCAAAGCTAAATCCTAAATAATAAACACTATCTTAAAAAACTATATCTTAAGTTTAATAGTTAATTTTAAAAAATATTTGCACCCTTTGAAAAGTAAAATAATGGTGGTATTTTTCAAAAAAAAAAATCAAAGTGTGGTATATTGAGAAATTTGGAGTAAATTAGTACTATTGATTTATAATCATTGTGAAGTGTTTTAAGATTCAAATAGTTGCGTGTGGTTGGAATAGACAACTCCGTTTTTGGAAAACCTCAAAAGACCCGGTATTGAGATCATGCAGGATGAGCGGCTCTAGAAAGTGATCGCTATGGATTAAGAGTTTATTCTTCTCCAAGAGTGCAACGGGTAATACAACCAAGGTTACATTTGAACCAAATCAATAGAACACATCAGGGTGAGCAGTGTCGGCTCAAAGATTTTAGGAGCCCTTGGGCAAAAAAAAAAAAAAAATTAGGTTCAAAAAAAACCAAAATTGTTTTTGACCCTATGTTTTTTTAAAATATGAATTATAATTTGATAATATAAAAACACATTACAAAATTATGAACTTTTTTGAGAATTTTTGAGAAATGCCCCTTTTGGTGTACCTATTTTTAAAAATACCCATTTTTCTAGCCATTTTCAAAAATACCCCTTTTCAAATATGAAAAATTATAAACTTTTATATGGTTGATAAGGTACATCAAGATCATCATTATTAATGGGAGACTAAATCCAAATACTTATAAGGTTTTAAGAGGTTCTAAACGGCATTTATAAAGTTTTTATAAGGTTTTTAAAAGGTTTACAAAGTTTTAATAAAGTTTTTAAAAGGTATTTATACGATATTTATGAAATATATATGTAAATTTATACACATATAAAGATAATTTATGTCTATAAATATAAGCTTATACATATTTTTTTGATAAATTTCAAATTTTATAGTGACTTTTTGATAAAATTAGAAAGAGGGGTATTTTTAGAAAGGGTATTGGAAAAATGGTATTTTTGAAATTCCCCCCACTTTTTTTTTAAGGTAATACGCAATTTATAGGCATGTTTTTGTTATATTAGCTTATATTATGTATAAATTTGTTTTTTACATCAATGTATAATAAAAAAAAGTTATTGAGCCATTTTTTGCTAATATAACAAGTTTATGGATCCTTTTCTAAAAATATAAGAATATATAAAAAGTTTATTGAGCCATCTTTTCGTCGTTCGTCTTGTGGTTTGGCCACTACAACGAGTTTGTGGTGTGGCGGACCTTCATTTCTCAGTCCCTCCGCCTTTATTTTTTTCAGCTCCGGTGGTGGTTTGTTTGGATTCCGACAGGCATTTTTGTGGAGGCAAGTCACAGGACCGTTTGGTTTTCATGGTTTGTTCGTGGCAGTTAGTGGCGTCGTGGGTTTTTGTTCATGGTGGTCAACGTCACTCCTCCATTGGTGGGCAGTTGAGGGTGGCAGCTTCTCCAGTCATGGTTATGGCTATCCCGTATCCATTTGCCTTTGTCCCTTTTGCATCGTCTCTGTTTTGCTTTTAGGTAGAGTTTTGTTGTTTTGGTGTTGTTGGTTTTGGTTCAATTTGTGAATGTGAGCAGTTGAGTGCTTCGGTAAGGTTTCTCGGGTTTTGAATAAAGGCGGCGGATAGGTCTAAGTGGCATCGCTTTCTCGTTGAGTTAGTTAGTAGTCTGTGGTTGCTTATGCGTTTTTGCGTTAGTTTTCAGAGAAGTTGTAAGCTTCTATTGCGAGGTTTTAAAGGCTAGCCTCAGATAATTCGGCTCGTGGCAACGAGGATGAAAACTCTAGTTCTTTGGTATTGTGGCAACCACGCAAATTTCCGAGTTTCGCGAGCTTGGAATCAGTGTTTCTTCCCGCAACTTGCCCTTGAGCACTCATTTTGTGATCCCTAACATTTTGAGTAGTAATATTGTTTTTAATCTTTTTGTAGCTGCTTTTATCCGCTACTCGTTTTTGTTGTAACTTATGTCACAAATTTAAAAATTTGATATAAAACTTAACCTTTTACCAAAAAAAACTCTGTTTGTGGATCATATTTTTTTTATATTTATTATTCATAAATTATAGTTTGTGATGATAAAGATCGAAAACTAGAAAAACTATGTTGTGAGTTGTGACCCATACTTAAGATGTGTTGGATTTTTTTCTTTTTTCTATTCACACCACTACAAACTATATTATATAAATAATAAATAAATAAATATTGGATTCGCAAACGAATTTAACCATTCGAACCCTTTAGTATTACAAAATCAAACACGAAAAACATACAAAATCAAATTCACAAAATGGGTAAAATGCATCACTGTACTTTATGCATGCATCAGCATAGAACTGAGGCGTTACAAACTCATAATCAATCATTAATCCTTTTTAAAACTATATATAAAAAAAAAGATCTTCATGTATAATAAACAAGAAAACAAAAGATCTAATAATATTGAATGAAATGAAGTGATGTCCTTTAAAAACATTAATACTATTGAATCAATTCGTACATAATTAGGTAATAGTATCAGTTTAAAAGAAGTGCATGGAAGACACGCGTTGCATGAATAATGCTAATTAGTCCTTCACTTAATCATCATCATTAGTTTTGTTTTTTTAACTCTCTCTACATAAAGACAGAGACAGTGACACAGAGAGAGAGAGGAGAGAGATAAGCAAAGATGAAAGAGTAGTGACGGTGAGAGACGGTAAACGAAGCAAAGCAAAGAGAGTCACGAGGAATCTGGGGTATGTGTTGAATGATAAAGCAATTTCATGGTGGGCGTTTCCATAAAAATTGAATTGAATTTCAATTTTTGAAGGCTATGGAGAAATGAATCTATCATTCTCTCTCTCTTTATCTCTCTATCTTTCTTTTTTCAGATTTCGCTTCTTCAGTTCATGAAATACTCGTGATTCCACTTTAATGCTTCTTCTACTTTTAAAGTCTCTGAAAATTCAAAGTTTATATCTTCTCGTTTCAAACTTTTGCAGAATTGTTTAAAGGTCTCGGCTTTTGTAGTGGAATTGACTTGTCTTTCAAAGGTTCAGGCTTTTAGGGGGTAAAGCTCTCACCTTTGGCGATGGTTCTTGACGGAAACAACGGTGGTGCGGTTTGGTTAGGTGGTGGAGAAAGGGAAGAGAACGAGGAAGGTTCGTGGGGAAGGAATCAAGAAGATGGTTCTCAGTTTAAACCTATGCTTGAAGGTGATTGGTTTAGTAACCCACCACATCCACAAGATCTTCAGATGTTACAAAATCATCAAGATTTCAGATTTCTTGGTGGTTTCCCTTTCAATCCTAATGACAATCTTCTTCTTCAGCACTCGATTGATTCGTCTTCTTCTTGTTCTCCTTCTCAAGCATTTAGCCTTGACCCTTCTCAGCAAAACCAGTTCTTGTCCACTAACAACAAGTCTTGTCTCATCAATGTTCCTTCTTCTGCAAACCCTTTTGACAATGCTTTTGAACTCGGCTCTGAATCTGGTTTCCTTAGCCAAATCCATGCTCCCATGTCGATGGGTTTTGGTTCTTTGACACAATTGGGGAACCGGGATTTGAGTTCTGTTCCTGATTTCTTGTCTGCAAGGTCCCTTCTTGCACAGGATCACAACAACAACAATACAGTGTTATGTGGTGGAGGAGGTGGGTTCACAGCTCCACTGGAATTAGAAGGTTTTGGGAGTCCTGCCAATGGTGGTTTTGTTGGGAACAGAGCCAAGGTCCTGAAGCCTTTAGAGGTGTTAGCGTCGTCTGGTGCACAGCCTACTCTGTTTCAGAAACGTGCAGCTATGCGTCAGAGCTCTGGAAGCAAAATGGGAAACTCTGAGAGCTCGGGAATGAGGAGGTTGAGTGATGATGGGGATATGGATGAGACTGGGATTGAGGTTTCCGGGTTGAATTATGAGTCTGATGAGCTCAACGAGAGTGGGAAAGCAGCTGAGAGTGTTCAGATTGGAGGAGGAAAGGGTAAGAAGAAAGGAATGCCTGCTAAGAATCTGATGGCTGAGAGGAGAAGGAGGAAGAAGCTTAATGATAGGCTTTATATGCTTAGATCAGTTGTCCCCAAGATCAGCAAAGTAAACAATTACTTCTCTTTTATCTCCTTAAGGTCTTTGTCTTTTCATCATTTACTTATTGCTCTCAGTTGGTGAGAATTGTTGTTCTGTAGCTTTTGTTGGGTTTAAACTCTAGAATTCTAGCATGGCCACTTTGAATGTAGTTGTTTTACTCTTTTGAGGAAGAAGCTCGTGATTAGGTTTTGTGTTTGATGGGTTTTGGATGAATTGCAGATGGATAGAGCATCAATACTTGGAGATGCAATTGATTATCTGAAGGAACTTTTACAAAGGATCAATGATCTTCACAACGAACTTGAGTCAACTCCTCCTGGATCTTTACCTCCAACTTCATCAAGCTTCCATCCATTGACGCCTACACCGCAGACTCTTTCTTGTCGTGTCAAGGAAGAGTTATGTCCCTCTTCTTTGCCAAGTCCTAAAGGCCAGCAAGCAAGAGTAAGGACTATATTCTGTATAACTTTTGCTTAGACGGGAAAGACGAAAACAAAGATTCATGTCTGAGATGTTACTCTGCTTCTTTTTCGCAGGTTGAGGTTAGATTAAGGGAAGGAAGAGCAGTGAACATTCATATGTTCTGTGGTCGTAGACCAGGTCTTTTACTTGCTACCATGAAAGCTTTGGATAATCTTGGACTGGATGTTCAGCAAGCCGTGATTAGCTGTTTCAACGGGTTTGCCTTGGATGTTTTCCGTGCTGAGGTAAGGATCTTCTACTCTTAGATAAAACAGTTGCAGATTTGTAGTAAGATATTAGTAGTAACATGTGTTCTTTTCTCTTTTGTCTATCAGCAATGTCAAGAAGGACAGGAGATACTACCTGATCAAATCAAAGCAGTGCTTTTTGATACAGCAGGCTATGCTGGTATGATCTGATCTGATCCCCTGAGTTTGAGTCCATTGAGCATCAGTTGAACCGGAGCTAGAAGAACTAAGTCCCTTTGAACCTGCAATTTTCATCTCAGTTTTTTTTCTTCTCTTCATAACTTATAATTTAAGCATGTAATGCAATTGCTAATGAGAGGTTGTTTTAATTAAGCTTTTGAGAACTCCATTTATTTTTATAAATCTTAACTTCCAGTTATGTTTCATCTAGAGCTATTTGATCAAGAAATTATTTTTTAAGAAAGGACAAAAGAGTTAGGTAGAGTCTCTCACGCACATATTACACGGTTTCAGACAAAACAGTTAGGTTAAAAGAGATAGACGGCTTTGGTATAAGCTGATGACAAGTTTTGGATGATGTGAGAATGGTGAACACACTTAGAAAAGAATGGTACAAGGAAGGAGGCAGAGCAAGAGAAATAGTCCCTACCATCTCTGTTTGTTTTTTTTGTCTTACTATCCGTTGTATGTATCCGTACAAAAAGAGAGAGAGAGAGAGAGGAGGAGACAGAGTTAATAGAGGTTGGAGACAGAAGAGAGAAGAGAGAGTCACGAGAACGTAGAGGATGTGATGAAGTATGAATCAAGAAAAGTTAAAGTAGTAGGACCTTTCAATAAACCTAACCCAAACTTTTTATAGGGTTTTAGGTTCTATGATTATCTCTTGTAGTAGTAAGTGTATGTATTAATGAAGTCCTCGTGATGTCCTCTTTGATGATTCAAAGCCGTTTCGTACTCTCTTTGTTTTTCAAAATGTTTTCTCTGTGGATGTGTCTCTCTGTCTCTCTTGAAGAAAAACTTCACAATTTTGTCCAGTAAAAAAAAAACTCATCATTTTACGTTGTAGATTTTGATTTTACTAATGATATAGCTTTAAGACATATTAAAAGCTGCCACGAAAAGCTCAGCACCGCCTCAGACGATTTCTCCGCTGCGTAACTCTCTTCAACATAAGAGTGAATAATAATACAAACATGATACAAAAATTTATCCCACACAATCTTTTTAGTCTTCAAGTATTGAGAGGAATTAAGGAAGCAAGTAATGAACAAAGTAGAGGAATCAAAGAGGCAAATAAAAACGAACAATGCACTAAACATATGAATGAAGCACGCACACAAAAGAGGAATCAAAGAAGCAAAGAAACAAGCAATACACAAAGCAGAGGAATCAAAGAAGCAGCAAAAGCAAACAAGTTGAGCAAGAAAACAAACAATTTACAATACAGAATAAGAATCTGAGAAGCAAAGAAACATTTAATACACTAAGCAGAGGAATCAAACAAACAAGTTGGGCAAAAACAAAAGAACAAACAATACAAAGAAATCAAGGAAGCACAAAGCAGAGGAATCAAAGAAGCAAAGAAACAACAAGCAATACACAAAGCAGAGGAATCAGAGAAGCAGCAAAAGCAAACAAGTTGAGCAAGAAAACAAACAATGAATGTAGCAAGTAACAAAGCAAGCAAGCAAAAGAAACAACGAATCAAAGAAGCAAGTAAGAAGAAAAAAATGAAAAAACTTCATGGCCAAGAACGTGAGTCTTTTGGCTTTAACACTCAAGAACTTGAGCATTATCCGTTGATTTTGGCCAGCTAAAACCACTCGACCATCCCAAGATTAGATCCACCTGCGCAAAACAATAACCTGGGAGTTAAATATCCACAGAGACAAGGGTTAGTGCTTAGTGGGCGAAGATCCAAAAAAAGGTTTAGAACGAGAGTTTAGAAATTTAGGAAATATTACCAAGCTTTCAATGTTTGCTTCTATTTGAAGCAACATTACTGCTAATCCTCTTCCTCGGCAAATTCAGGCATGGAATAAACTATAAGATTTGTAAGATGAGCCGTTGAAAACTATAATATTTTCAGAGGTAAGTTAATATCAAGGCTACCAAACAAGAACATACTGCGATGCTTTCAGCTGCAAGCACTGTTGTAAACTTTGACATTATGCCTGCCAAAATGTTAAAAATAAAAAAATTAAAAAATCTAGTTTTACTTTCAAATTGTTAAAATCATCAATCACAACTACAAGAAATCAAGGATAACATACCTTTCCGATCCATGGATACTACACAGAACCTTTCAACGACAAGGACTGTTGTAACCTTTGAGATTATGCCTGCCAAAATGTGACAAAAAAAAAATTGTGGTTTACTTTTGAGTTGCTAAAATCATCAATCACGACTACAAGAAATCAAGGATAACATACCTTTCCGATCCATAGATACTACACAGAACCATTCGATGGAGTGACCTTTGAGCTTTTAGTGTCTCGCCAACTGTCTAAGCTTTTAGCAGGAAAAATCTTGGCAATTCCATTACCTGGTAAGAGGAAATTTGACTCATCTAAACTCGAGTTTCTATTGCTATTTTTTGTGTGTTTTCAATTCACCTTTGGGACCAAGTGCTCCATTTTGAGAAGTGGGTGTTGTAATATCTCTGCCTTTTTCTTCGTGATGTATATCTGATTTTGTCTTGTGACTGGGAAGTGGGAACTGCTTGACATTGACGAGGATTTTCTCCCACCATTGTAAGCTCTTTCTTGAATGTTCTGCATCACTATCATAGTCTGCCACAAAGTCATTGACTTGAACAAGAGGAGAGACATGAAGAATTAGTAAATGTGAGCCAATAAGCATATAAAGTAAGTGAATACCAATAATATACCCTCATAATCTTCTGTCTCGCACTCCTTGTTTTCGCATGTTGCAACCACTGTTTATGTCTCTGGAAATCTGCTTGAGAGGGGCTGTAACAATAAAAAGGAACATGAAAGCTCGTGAAACCTAGGTAGAGCAGATGAAGCTACTTATAATTTCCGTACGTAGGACAAAAAGAAAACGAGAAATGGAAAAAATGCATGAGAGAAAAGGTACAAAATGTTGTAGGTGACAGTCTCCAGGACATCAACATTCTCAAGAACGTGAGTTGTAGAAACAAGATAACCATTTACCTGCAATTTCATGCCATCAAATGTTATAGGTCTTGTCTAGTCGTTGTATGTATTTCACAGATATCATGGAATGGGAAAAATACCTTTGCTTTTACTATCTTGCTTTCGATTTCCGTGTGTATCAGATAAGCAATAGTCAACAATGGTGTCCCCTTTCGAGCGGTGCTTTATCTGCAAATAGAATATGTAAGAAAATTATCACAAATACCCGAACCTCCCGTAGAAACATGCTCTCGTACAAGAACGGTTTCACGGTAGTATGGAGGCTTTGGGGGTTGCAATGTATTTTTTTACATGTAATAAAAAGGTCGACATGCTCAGACATAATGTAGTGAAAGTATATCCTGGAAGTATAGATGATCAGATACTTACAGTTCGAGGAATAGGTTTCCAGATCTCATGGACTAGCCGAAGAACGTGATAGCACATTGCATTGACGACATAACAAGAAAGCTAAGTGACACACCAGACTGCACAAAGACCCGACCCCCATAGAAACTTTTGGCTTTAGAACAATCCATAACTGCTAAATAAACAAGTTAGGAGAAGCAGTGTGTTAAATTACTATATAATTTCAAAAACGATTACTTACCCAGCAAAATATTTTATGTTCGCCACAAATCTGTTACTTGTTACGGTTATTGGTTTAGCCCCTACATCTTTCAACCATTTTAAAGCTCCTTATGTATAGATCATGTGATTTAAGAACATAAAAAAATATTTATTATTACAAACCTTAGTCCAGTTTGAGTAAGAACATGACCTGAGAAGCAAAAAGTAAAATATTCAATTCCATGTGTGTTATTTACACCAAAAGAAAGTATAATAAACCTTTTTCCGGTTTTTGTTTAATTACTCTGACTGGATATTTTTACAAAACATGTTAAGATGGAAATACCTTATTTTGTTTAGGATAGTCGTGACCAATGGATGTAAGGTCTATTGTGTTTTGGTACAACCTTGTTGGCAATAGGAGTAGCACATCAAGTTTGGTATCTGCAATTAGTTGCTCAGCTGATAAAAGTGTTAGATTAATCAATAGATAGATGGACCAATTATGAGGAAACAAGAAACCTACAAGTTTTGATTACATTTGAGAAATGAAACTACAGAGTTATTAATAAATAAGTGTGTGATAAGTAAAGCTAGTAAGAGAATTAGTAAAGAATCAAGGAATCAATCATCTAAAGAGGCAAACAATAAACTAAACAACGAATCAAATAAGCAAGTAAGGAAGTACACAAGGAATCATGTAAGAAAAATAAGGAAGCACAGAAGGAACCAAGGAAGAAAGCAAGCACAAACACACACATATAACTGAGGAATTACACAGCAATTAACAAAGGAGGCAAGTAACAAAGCAAGAATGTAAAGAAGCAAGCAAGCAAACAGCAAATTAAGACACATATAATATAACTAAGGAAGAATGAACCTAAAGAAGCAAGCAAGCAAGCAAAGAAACAACGAATCACAGAAGCAAGCAAGCACAGAAACAACGAATCACAGAAGCAAGCAAACAAGCAAAGAAACAACGAATCAAAGAAGCAAGCAAGCAAAGAAACAACGAATCACAGAAGCAGGCAGGCAAAGAAACAACGAATCTCAGAAGCAAGTAACAAACAAAACAAGAAATTAAAAGGCATAGAAGTAAGGAAGCAAGAACGTAAAGAAGCAAGCAAAAGAAAACAACGAAACAACGAATCAAAAAAGCATGTAATAAGCAAAACAAGAAATTAAAAGGCATAGAAGTAAGGAAGCAAGAACGTAAAGAAGCAAGCAAAAAAACAACGAAACAACGAATCACAGAAGCAAGTAAGAGTCAAAACTCAAAACCAAGGAACGGTAACCAAGGAAACTAGCAATTAGTCAAAAATTTAAACAAAGACTGAAAAAAGAAGAAGAAGGATCGTACCTTTAACATTGGATTGCAAAAGCCAAAACCCTAAAGATTAAGTGAGAAAAAGGTCGGGATCATACCTTTTGTTTCATTGAGATTAAAACTGTAGCAATTCAAGTTGAATTCCCAAGAAATCCCTACAAAATCAACACCCAAATCCCTAAAAAAATTCCTGAAAAATCACATATAAATAAAAACCTGAAGAATCGTATGTATATAAGAGATTTATACCTTAGAATATGGGAATTTAGACATGGATCTGATCGAGAGATGCGTCGCCGATCATAATCAGACTGAATCGAAGAAGAAAAACAAAGAGATGAAGAAGAAAGAGATTGTAAATCGCCAAGGAGGAGCGCTTTTGGGAATCGGGGAGCGTTCTTCAATTATATTCCCGTTATATCGACATTTTTCATCTTTCGTATTAAAAAGGAAATTTAAAATTAGAAATTCGAAAGAAGAAAAGGAAAAGCCCAATAATAATAAAAAGCCCAATAATCTCAATAATAAAATTTTACCGTTATAATTACGCAAGTGATAATAGAACATAAATCAGTGGGTCAAAAATGTTAAATTCCAAATAATTCTTTACGTACTACAGTAAAACCTCTATAAATTAATATTGGTGGGACTACAGAATTTTATTACAGTAAAACCTCTATAAATTAATACTCGATAAATTAATAATCTCTATAAATTAATAAATTTCTCCAGTCCCAACTTGGGACCAGTGTAATTTTAGACACATTTCGATAAAATAATAAGATAATAAATTTTTGGAAAATCCTTTATAAATATATGGTCCCATCAATATTATAAATTAATAATTAGGTAAAATTTTCAAAATATATGTATATATATACACATTAGTTTTTGTTAGATTTTATTTCTAATATTTTACTATATGAAAAATAGTTAGCATTCTCTTTTAATACATAATAATTATTGTTTTATTTGTAATTGATTATATAAAATACTAATTATCATGATTAAATCTTTTTTTTAAATATTGTTTTGAAAATATTTTCCAAATTAGGAATATCTCTCTATAAATTAATAATTATTAATTTATCGATAAATTAATACCTCTATAAATTAATAGATTTTCATGGTCCCAACATTATTAATTTATAGAGGTTTTACTGTAATTTATAGTGATATTAATTTATCTATAAATTAATATTTATTATTTAATAGTGTAAATTAATAATTATTAATTTATAGTGGCATCTTTAAAAGAATTAGACAATTTTACAAAATAAGATTAATCTTTAAGATTATATAAAAATTGAATTCTCTATTTAGAAAAACAATTTAAAAATGAATTAAAAATATTATTAATAAATTCACTTATATACAAAGTATATACATAAATTCAAATTTATGATTAATACCTCAACTGTTATCTTCTAACAGCCTATAAAACAAAAAAAAATGAATATGATGCATATTTATAAATAGAAAACATAAAAAATATTGGTTATTTTATGATGTTATGGAGTATATTGTAATATTATAGTTTAAAAATAGGGGGAATTTCAAAAATACCCCTTTTCCAATACCACTTTTTAAAAATACCCCTCTTTCTAATTTTATCAAAAATCACTATAAATTTTGAAATTTATTAAAAACTATGTGTAAGCTTATATTCAAAGACAAAAATTATCTTTATATGTGTGTAAATTTACATATATATTTCATAAATACCTTATAAATACCTTTTAAAAGTCATTTAAAAACCTTATAAAAACATTGTAAAAACCTTGTAAACCTTTTAAAAACCTTATAAATACCGTTTAGAACCTTTTAAAACTTTATAAATATTGGGATTTAGTCACGCAGTAGTAATGATGATCTTGCTGTACCTTATCAACCGTATAAAAGTTAATAATTTTTCATATTTGGAAAGGGGTATTTTTGAAAATGGATAGAAAAGAGGGGTATTTTTAAAAAGGGGTAGACCAAAAGGGGTATTTCTCAAAAATTCTCTTAAAAATATAACATAAATATTTTTTTTATAGAGATGAGCTCGAGGAGCAAAAATTCATTTTTAGAAAAAACTAAAAGCATATTTTAACATAACTACTTATATCATATACTGTATATATTTAGAGTATATATATAGTGATTATAAATTTATGATATTGTTGGGACTATATTTACATAGGGATTTCAAAAAAACTTATTATCTTATTATATTATCGAATTTAGATCATTTTTACACTGGCCCGACTTGGGACCAGCAAAAATTATTAATTTATAGTGTTTATTAATTTATAGAGTATTAATTTATGGAGGTTTTACTGTAACATGTAATGCATAGACATCATAGAAAAACAATTTTTATAAAGGGAAAAAAAACAATAGCTAATACTAAAGATTATAATATATAGTTTTTTTGGGTGAACTATTGAATGATCATAGTTATACTCGTTTCCTTATGTCTACATTTCAAGTTTTTTCAAACATGACCATTTTTTTCCTTTTTTACTATCTATTTTTTTCATACTAATTTTCCATTAAAACTATTACCAATCTAACGTTTTAGATGAACATCTTTACCGTTGGATCAAAGTCTGCCTTTTCACGTTTTAAGTTCTTAAAAACATTTAGCTTTTGATTCTTATTATTTTTATTTTATTTTGTCAATGTTTCTTATTTATTGTATTTTCTACTACCAGTTTTCATATAGATGAATAGATGATACCAAACCAAAGAAATGATTATTACTGTGCGATTAACTTTGGAGCAGAGCTTTGATCTAGCCTATTTTTTTATCAAGTATTCATATTATTACTGTTTGATGCAAAGTTTGGGAACTCTGATCTGATTTATAAAGTCCAATCTTGATTTAGTGAAGCTAGATTTCATAAAATGAAAGAGTGGTTATAAAGATACAAACATACACATATTCACATCACATAAAAAAAAACTTGTTTCTTCATTAGTTGACATCTTTTTGATAGTCAGGTTCACAGAATTCTCCACCAAGATCATCACAGGCCTCTTCGCGGAAAACACTATTTTTCGAGTAGTCACAAAAACACACACAATCAGAGATTAGGAATCTAAACTGAGAATGAAAGGGTTTAAAGAAAATGTGAAGCTTTACGTTTTGGTGTTGTTATAGTCTTCGTATTCTCTGTCAACAGACTCTGTAGTCACGGGACGTGAGACGGGCTTTGATTCGAGCTTAACTTCAGGGTAAATGTCAGCAGAACAAGCGTATCCACTGATTACTTCACATGCTTCAGCTGGGAAAACACTGAGTATTATAAAGATGCTAACGAGTCAGTAGAGAGATGAGAATTAGAGAAAGAAGTGATCGAAGGACTTACGAAAGGATGGAGGAGTTGTAGTCGACGGTGTTAGGATCAGATGATGCGTTGTTTGATCTGAGAGGTGAGAGTCTTGAAGGTTTAGTTGCGTGAGGAAGAAGAAAACTAAGTTTTGGAGAAGAAACTGAAGAAGGAAGAGGAAGAAGAATGGTTGGTTTGATGTAAAGAGCTCCCTGCATATTTTGTAATCTCTTTGATCTTTTGAGTAGGAAAGATTTGGTTCTGGTAGTGATTTAGATATTTTGGTTCTGTTTTGGAACAGTTTATGCTTTTATTTATAGACAAAACAGAGCAGATTTGTATTTTTAGGTTTATTGACTCAATAATTGATAATCCAACGGACTAGAATCACTCACTGGTCCAACACTTGGGAAAGAAGATAAAAGTTTGAACACAAAGGAAGAGATATTTATGAAAGGATAAGGTTCTTCAGGCTTTGTTGTATGTAAACATGTGAGAATGAAAATCAATGGATTGTTATCCTCTACTCTTGGAAGAAATTTTATCCAATCTTTCTTTTTTTTTTTGGAATTTTCTGTGTTTTTTCTAGTAATCTGAGTCAGCAAAAATGATATGTTTGATTGAGTTTCAATAATGGTCCGAAATGGTATAAAGTTTAGGACAATCACATGGATTGCAAAAAGGGAAAAAAAAAAACAAAGTTTTCGTCATTGAGTAACTGAGTTTCGATATAAGAAATGAGACGATCCATTAATTACCAATGACTTATGAGTTGAAAAACCATAGTCTAATACTATTTTCATATACTATGTAGATTTGTTAATTTTAAGTTTTTTTTTTATGTGTTCACTATTATATTATAATTTTTTTTTTGCTGGATAGTAAATTTGAAATTTAATTAAATAGAGACAAAGAAATCATAACAAGTGTAAAAACTTTCAAAAAATTAAAATTAGGTACTATGTTAGCATATATATGGAAAATAAGCAAATAAAAACCAAGAAAAAAGAAAAGTAAATTACTTTTGTTTTTTTCACAGAAATTCAAATATATTGAAAAATTAAATCTAATTTAAATAGAAATAGAAAAATTCAATTCGTCAAAGTTACACGTATCAATCAACTATTCATCCTTCAAGATAAGAAAATTATATTTAAAAAACAAAAAGACAAAACTATTTTTTAAAAGTTTAAAATTTTAACAAATCAAAAATTTTTTTGTAAACAATTAAAAATTTTATTAGACCTCTTTCAGAGTAGGAATAAGAAATTTCTGCAGGAATAAGAAACCAAAGTATTTGAAAATGTGTAAGAAAATTTAGTTGAAGACAAAATAATAGAAATTTGAGAATATCAAAATAATATTTCTGATTTTATTCTCGCATATCATCTAATTTTGTTTTCCATTTTTCGTTTTGAGTTTTTTTAAACAAAAAAAAATCCCATGTACGCATGTCATAATTTAGTTATATATACTTTGTAGATTTGTTAATTTCCAGTTATTTTTGTTTTCACTTGTAGTATATTAATATATATATATATTTGTAAATTCTGAAATTAAATAGGGAGATTTGCACAAATAGAGAAAAGGATCTGAAATAGGGAGATCCGAAATTAAAAATTTGATTCTTTGGTTTAATTCAAGAAGCTAAACATATCTCAAGTCTCAACCGTCAGTCATAATATATTTTTATTAACCAATATTTAACCATTTAATTTCCTTTTACATGGCAGCTCTAACAGCCATGATGTTTTTCTTTTCTACAGTCTGGGTCTGGTTCTGCTTTACCAAGGTTCAGGCTCACTCCTCTCTCTATCCTCCCACCACCTATACCTCTATCTGGGTCTGGTTCTGCTTTACCAACATTGAGACTCATCAGTCCTCTCTCTATCCTCCCACCTACACATTTATTTGAAAACACAATCACATTTGATGATCAATCATTCGATTAATATACATATAAACTTATACTTACACTCATGTGAAGCCAAGAGGGAGAACATGACTATGCACATTAGAACTATTTGTGATGTTTTCATGGTTTAGATTTCTTGACTCAATCAATGATTTTTGCTTGTTTTGTTTTACTCTCTTGTTGTAAAAGTTTACACAAGACTCTATATATATATATTAAAAGTTTAAATATGGAAAATATCTAATATAAATATGATTAGTTTTATGTGGAGCTCCTAAATGCTTCCACATTTTCTCTTTTTTATTTTTCTTATTTTTATCCTTGTCAGATTCTCTTTCCTTCTAAGGAATTTTTTTTTATTTCTAATCAAAAACCAAATCCAATATAAAAACCCACAAAAAGAACTATTTTAATGAAAATCTATGACATGATCTGTTATCTTTAAATACTATAAATTAATTAAATACCAGGATTAAAAAAAATAAAAAAATTAGATTTTGTCTTTTTATCATTATTATTATTATTTTATTTTTTTCTTATGAGAATGATCTCTAAGACTATCTATATTGGTGTATATAGGATGTGTATCTAAAATATATTTATCATTAATTTTATTAATATTTTTTTCTCTTTATTGCTAATCTTAATATTTAATAACTAAATATTTAATTATCTAATTAAATTAAAAAATAAATATTAAAATTATATTATAGTAGAATTAACCTCTCCTCCAAAGTGTCACTAGCAAAAACAATGGGTGTAGAACCTCTTTTTTTGGTGTAGAAAATTGTTCTCTCACTTACAATTGTTTGGTTCTAAATGGTAAAGTTATGAGAGATACATTCATTATCAGTTACATGGATATTTTAACATGTAGTTGAAATGGATATTTTAGGTTTCAGTTACAAGTAAAATAACAATTTTTAAAAATCCATAAAGGTCAATTGACCCTCAGAGCATGTTCAATGGTAAACTTATCAAAGGTGTCTAAAACAACTAACTAATTTTAATATTGTTTTAATTTTTAGACACTCATAAAATGAGTCCTATTTAAGACACAAATCACAAATATTAGACCAATATTTTAATTAAAGTTGATTATTATATTCTAAGATCAATTTTTAAGACACTCTCTAATTCACCACTGTACATGGTCTCATAGTCACTCTATAGCTGCGCCCCTGGCTTGGACGTTTTCACTATGAGAAAAAAATCTAATACAAAAAAAAAAGAAAACGAAGAGTTAGAAGTCTTAAACATAATCGTTTTCGCTGCAAAAGAAGAGTTTTTTCTTAACAAAATCTTAAGTTAAAAACCCTCCATTAATCATGATCTCAAACTCTTAATGCTTCTTACAAAAGTGTAAAGTAAAAAAAACAAAAAAAAAAAACTAACGTACTAAGTACTAACCAACCATGCACACCGACACCGACAAATTGTACATGAAGTAAATGACTAGCTATATTTTTTGTTGGATAAAGTCTTATAAAGTCTTAATTTAAATAAGCAGCATACATTCTTATTCGATTATTATTATTATTATTAGTATTTAGGTCTAGAGATGACAAGAAGCTAAGCAAATCTCTCTAGCGGTGGGGATAAAATCAAGCAACCAACATTTAACAGTTTGTACCCCTTTCAAATGGCAACACCAACAGTCCATTTTATGATGTCTTTCTTTTCGACAGTCTGGTTCTGCTTTCCCAACATTCACTCCTCTCTCTATCCTGCCACCACCACCACCTACACCTCTATCTGGGTCTGGTTCTGCTTTCCCAACATTCAGACTCATCACTCCTCTCTCTATCCTTCCACCTACACGTTTATTCGAATAACACAATTTATCACACGACTTTGACCATCGATCATTTGATTTATAAATGAGCAATGTATATGATTTATATATAAACTAACGTATACGTACACTCATGTAAAGCCAAGAGGGAGAACATGACTATGCACATTAGAACTATTTGTGATGTTTTCATGGTTGTGGCTCAAAGGATGGTTCAATTGTTGTTTTACTCAATTGTTGTAATTTGCAAATACCAAGACTCAATATATATTATTGGCTATGGTTCCATTACTATATATTTATATGGAAAATATCTAATAAATATTTATGTGATTATATATGTATATATATATACATATATAGAATATCTAATAAATATTTATGAGGTTATAAATATATAAGTATATATATGAAAATATCTAATAAATATGGTTAATCATTTTAGATTAAATTTTCGTAATAAAAGTTTGTTTTATTAATCAAAAAACAACCCAATATAAAAACCCAAAAATAGAGCCATTTTTATGAAAATATCTCACATATATATTTATATTTAAACACTTTAAATTAATTAAGAATAAATTTGGAAATTTCCCCTGTTTTAATTTGAAAAGTAACTTTTTATTTTCTTCTTAAAAAGTACTTTTTAATATATAAAATAAATCCAAGTTTGTTCAAATTAAAAAAATATATAAAATAATTAATTAACCTAACTAAAACTTAATACTATTTAACAAAAGGTTTATATTTACACTATAAAATCAAATGTTAATTATAGGTAATTAATTTTCTTTACAAAGTAATTAAACACCAGGATCAAATAATTCCTTTAGTTATATTTTGTTACTTTATTTTAAAATTAGTCACATCGAGGCTTAAATTGGAGATATTTTGTCCAATTTTTTTTTGGAATTTTATATTTCCTTCATGTTCTCTGAGTCAGCAAAATCATATGATCCTAATTCCTAAATGGTGTAGTAGACTTAGTAATGAAAGATACATTCATTATTAGTCATATAGGTTGTAAATAGAAACAAAACCAAAGTTTGAGATTAACTTAACTCACCACAATCTCTAGTTTTTTTTTCTTTATTCAGTTTTTTTTTTTCTTTCTTAGATTCAAAACATTATTATACATACACAAATCCATAGCATTTCTTTTCAATAACGGCGTACACTTGTTGTCGACAAAAGTACTCGGCTCGCTTTCTTCCCTCTCTTTCCGGGCTCTTTGATGATTGGTGTGCTCGGTGTGCTCGTTCTTGATGTTACACTTGCGAATGATGACGCTATGTTTGTGTTTCTTGCACCTGTAAACATGTTTAGAGAGAGGGACATCAGAGTGAGAACCCTTTAAAATTTGTGCAGAGCTAAAACAGTGGTTACCTGTGGTTGCGTTTGTGACTTCATTGCTGCTGCTTTGCACGTTTGTTGGATCGTTATTCAAGTTGGGGGAGTCATGGCCTGCTGCGAAACCGAGCCTTGTCACGTGTGAAAAGGAATTTCTCTCTCTGATGTTTGGAGGGCTTGATGATATTGGGGCAGAGTTTCCTAGGGCTAATAAAAAGAGACACAACACCAAAGCTTTCTGATTAGATTACTAAACCTTAAATCCAGTTAAGAGACGAGATATTCCTATTGTTTTACCTTCAAAGTCATCCAAAGAAAATGAAGGGAAGTCATCATGAGAAGACCGTCCAAAACTGGCCATCAATGGTACAACAAGCTCTGCAGCTGCAGCTACTTCAGCTTTTATTTTATCTTTTTGCTCCTGAAAAAATGGACATCATATGAGATATTAGCCCTGATTTTTCCTTTAACAGTGGAATTTGGGAGAGAGTGAGACACAAAGCAGGATCATTTGTTATATGTAATCAAGTTAAAAATACTAACAAAAGTGAACAAACAAAGCCCATATGATCTTTTTTTTCAACCCTGCTCGTTTCTTTAACAATGGAATTTAGGAGAGTAAAATATATTAAAAAAAAAAAAAAAGTGAAAATACAGCCCAAAGGAGGTTGGAATGTGTTGTGTTTCATGGTTAGAAAGAGGGATACCTTCCTAGCTCGGTCTTTCCTCTGTTTCTCACGCTTCTTGATTTCATCTATAAATGGAGCAAAGGCATCAGGAGGCAAAGATTCCCTCATATCAATCTCACATATCTGAAAAGATTACCAAACCGAGGATAACCTCATGGGAAAAATGTCAAGACAAAGCAACATGTGTTGAAGATAGAACTAAGTGAATAACATGTGCGGGAAATAGGAGCAACCAGTGGAAAATAAACCTGAAATGTAGTTGTTAAAGAAAAATGACTCAAGAAGCGGTAACGTCTCCTTATGGCTTCCGACTGGGTAACAGTCTCCATTTCCAGTATCTTTCCGCTCACTCTGTCATTTGGTGAACTGAAATCAGAACACTACTGGAACAACTGACTGAACACTTTTTATTGGAACCTATAGTATTGATTTTCATGCTAAATAACAACAGTTCAAACTTTATAACACCAATGCCTGATTTCATAAACTTTTGAATCAGTATCCCAGATCCATGCATAGGCGACGAAGAGGCTTACGAGAATGTGAGTGCATAGTATACATGGACTCTTACCTTGGTGGAAGAAAGTCATAGCTGCCATAATGATGCAGAAGACACTTCACGTTCAAAGTATGAAGGATAATGTGCTGACCATCAACAGACTGTACACAAGCAGAGCACAAAGGTAAGACAACTTAAGCATCTTACGGATGAAACCACCATATGATATCAACAAAACCATCTAGATTATTGATAATATTTATTTTCATACAAAAGAAACTGACTCTAATATATCAAACGACCAGCCATAGCAATAAATAAAAAATAAAAAATCATCAAGCAGCTCATTAGTACTTTATATGGAAACGAAACAGTATGGATCAGAAATCCATTACCTGATAAAAGTTGTACGCATCATTATCTTTCAGTTCTTTGGTGTCATTTTGGTGCGACAGGAAACCTTTTTTACTTCCATTGCATGAGGAAGATGACGGTGCGTCTTGGTCTTCTAGAGGATGACCATTATCACAATTCTTTTCCAAACTAAATTGAGATTCCCCATCTGACTTATCCACTGAAGAATATTCAGTTGATTTATCATGATTGATGGAACCGCTAGCTGTTGCTCCATGCGCCCAGCCGGGTGCTTGATAACCAGCTCTAGAAACATCAGGAGGTGAGGATGATTGTGTCTGATTTCTAGCTGTTGTGCTCAATTTTCTGTAGTTAGAGAGCCTATGCTCATTCCAGTAATTTTTTCTCTGCTCCAAACGATCCAAAGCAGCATTTACATATAGGTGCTTCTCCAGGTCTTCGACGAGTCCCGGATCTGCTCTTGCAATCCAAGAATCTAACTCTGAAACTGCTTGTCTGACAGAGAGATCAACATCTTGGGTGAAAGTGAACTTTGAAAACGGATCATAAATCTCATTATCACCACTAGGAATAGCTGATTCATACTCAATTTTCCGGGTTGGAGCAAAAGAATATTTCTTGCGTGTCAAAAGTACAAACTCGATTGGATCTCCAACAGAATACTGCTTGACGTTTTCAATATAAACAGTGTATAACTCTCTTGGAGAAATCATCACAAAGCACAGTGGACACCTCTTGAAGCATTCTGCCTTGTGGTTATCCACACCCATCAACAAGTATTGTAGAACACACGGGAAACAGAAAATATGCCCACAGGAAGTTATCTGCGGACATAGAGGGTACTCCAAGCAAATCGGACACTGCACAGGAGACGGAGTAGAATACCTTACACAAATAATATTATCCCACTGCAATGCTTTATCAGGATCCATAGAATCTGGAGAATGATCTCCAGTATCCAGCACAACAAACTTGTAGTTGGCCTTAAGAAACAAATCCTTGTTATAAGGCCTCCTCTTGCACTGTTGCCTTCTTTGCGGTGGAGGAGGACCCCTAGATTGTGGGGGTGAAATCGGATCATACTGAAAATTCAGTAAATGGTTCCCACTTATCACATTAGCTCTTCTACCAGTTGGATTATGATGCGAAACACCGCCTCTAGGAGAATTAAAATGTCCGGTATTATGCTGCCATTGAGAAGAAGAAGAAGAACCAGCAGCTCCAGTACCTCTTCCTCTAGACCTATTCCTTCGACCATCATATCGAAAGTGGTCACGTGTATCTGCATTAGGTGGGGAAAAACTCTCCTTCCCTGCTCCAATTTGCGTCATCTGCAGCTTAGAAAGAACAATGAACAGATCAATCAACTAATAAAATAAAAGCAAACTAGACTTTAAAAAGTATCATCCTTTATTGAGAAAGCAACTAAATTTTACCTCTTTGGAAGATCCACGGCTATCTCCCTCCTCAGCTGCAGCAATCGATTCTACAGTTCAAAAAAATCAAAATTGAGACAAGAAGTGAGCTAAAAAACCTAAAGCTGGGATTTTTCAAAGAAACCCTAAAAACCAAATTAACGATCTTTCAATTAAAAAAAAGCCCTAGAATTTAGGGGTAAGCTGAGTTAATCAATCTTCCTTACCCCGAGAGCCACCGGAGAAATCATGAACGGATTCAGAATGTCCGACGAATCCAGTTCCGGTGGAAGAGATCCGGGGAGGAGGAGAGGTGGGAAGAGGAGGGAGAGAAGAAGAGTTGTCGCCATGCTCAAAGCTAGGGTTTAGAGAGGAATCTGTATTAGAGGAAGACGAATTGTGACCTTGGATATGCGTTGAAGGCAAGATGGACATGAAAATCTTAGGGATGAGAGATGAAATTTCGCCGGCTCAGAGCCACCGCTGCTTCTGCGTTATGCGTACACTTAGAAAAAAAAAAAATTAACCAGAGGGCCAAAAAAAACTCGTCGTCGTCCTTTTGATATTTTTTTATGATTGTTCCGTGTACCCGGCTTGGATCCGTTAACCCGTAATTATGATTCCTTTTTCTTCGCGGGTGGATATACCGAATCTTATATGACACAGTTTACTGTAATAACCCTCGTTTGTACTTTGGTGTTCGGTTCTTTCTTTGTCAGCAACACGTGTAATGAAGTCAGGCCTAGTTTAAGAACAATTAAAACTGTTTTAAAAAAACCGAATTAAAAGATCAGCTGATTTTTTGGTTTTCGCCGGTGAACCGTACACTTCAATTAACCGATAACCAAACATACCAGCTTAGTTCCGTTCGGTTAATTGAAGTTGCAGGCCTGTGATTTATTGATATACTAGTATTAGACAATAAATTAAACTCAAAAAATTAACATGAGCTCAGTTCAGTTCGGTTTATCGAAGTGGCAGACTTGGTTCATTATGTTTTCTCTTTTCCGATTAAAAAAAAACTTAAAAGAGGAACAACAACGTTTCTTATTTCAAAACCTATGTAAGTTGCTGTTTTCTTTCACCAACCATTTCAATGTGATCATCAAACTTGATCAAGAAGGTTCGGATTTCCATCGGAACTAGCTCAACCACTAGCTTCTCTGCGTCCACAAGTCCTCCCCTTATCACTTCTTTCCCGGCCGAGCCTTCTACTTTCCAGATTAGCCTTCTCTTCTCCATCTCCGCCTTCTCTTGGTTTCCTGAAAGACTTGTCTCTTTCACTTGGCTTATCTGTTCAACAAGTTAAAATAGAACAGCAATAATTTATGTTAGGACACACAGAGACACAAATAAGAGATGGACCGGATCCTCTTGTTTTTGCCGTACCTTTTTGTTGTGAAATAGTTTCTTCAGCTCCACTTTTGCCATAACTGAGTACTCACTATCCTCTCCAACCTTCACAAGGTTAACATGACAGTAACTCAAAAGGACTCAACTTCGATTAAACCATTAAGAGACGAGATAGAAAATAGTTATTAAATTCAGATTTTTCTCGCAGCTTAGTGACCCAAAATTTTCTAGAAAAGCAAAACTGTCAAAAGTTCATGGGTTATATCAATTTAAAACCAAATAGTAATACTTAACTAATGGATAGGATCAAGACTTCAGGTCTCATCATAATTCACATGTGGGATTATTAAGAAACCCCAAAATAATGGTTCGTCTGACTCGTTAGAATTGACATAGCACAAGGACGGGGTTTCTAAGTATTCCAAATTTGTCAATATCTCTAATCATTTGCTAGTTTAATTGGTCTAGTGTAAAACTACATTTACACAACCAAAAAGCACATAGCGATAACACATTAATGGTGAAAAGATATAGATAGGACAAGTAAGAACCTCAAATAAGTGCGCAAGCCTTAAAAGAACTTCCCCATTTTCCAACTCCTGGAAATGTCAAAATTAATCATAGTGTGGTCAAATAATAAAAACGTCTTTGAGATATACAGTACACAATCCAACTAACCTGGAGCGTGAGTAATGCGACGTTTTTTGGTAATGAATATGACGGTTCAAATGCTGAGAAAGTTGTCTTATGTGAATTAATCCAACTATCTCCTTCCTATACAAAAAAAAAAATACCTAATCTCACTTCACTATCTAAAAGAGGAGGGAAGTAAATATTTCGTTTTCAAGAGCAACCTGTTCTGTGAATGCTAGAAGTAGTGGAGAATAAATTTCTTGACCAAATGTTCGACGCCATTTTGACCCATCTCCAGGTTTATCTATCTGTACATAAAGCTTCCCTCGTATCTGCAAAAAGAATCAAAGTTACCCAAACTGTTTTAGGCTAAAAACGATTTAGTACCACCTTTGAAACAATCTCTGTTCCATTACATGTTCCCCTAAAAACTAAAACGTTACAACTTGGATGGCTAAAAATGAGATGAGAACTTAAGCTTACTGTTAATCCTTTGCATCCTTCAGGAAGACAGACTGTTTCATTAAGAATCTCGCCAACACCTCTAATGTCATCATGCTGCATTCTCCTACACAAATGAAAACAAAGAGAGGTGAAACACAACCAAAACAACATTTGCTTTTTTTGGTTATATAGAGAAAATAAATAGACAGACCGATGAAGCATCAATTCAATCTGGCCGTTCTCTAAGCTGGACCCGCCTACAGCACGATCCACCAACACCGATAACTCTGAGGTTTTATCTTGCATATATATTCCAAGGTTTATCTGGAAGAAACAAAAATACGTTACAAAAAAAGGCAGATATAATGCAGCTCAGTCAAGTACAAGATCTTAGTACATCATAAGAAGGAATCTCAGATGGATTTGATGCCTTACAGGATAATAGTTTCCAGAAACCGGTTGGTACACTTGCAAGTCCCAATCTGTTCGGAAGTCCCGAACCTGCAAAAAATATAACAAAGTGTGTTACAATAACAACAATACTTTTGATACAAAATAAAAGGAAACCTGAAGTTTGCATCTATACCCGTTTGATGAAATCACGTCCATTAGAGTCTGTGTAAAATGTTCCATTTGTTTTCATGGTGGTTGTCAGTTTAGTGATAACTTCCTTGCTAATACCATCCGCTGGTATAGGCCCAACCTAGAAAGCAAATAAGAGTGAAATTGTCTTCGTCAGTTCAACACGAAGAAATGTGAAGGTAAAGAGAGATCAGCTCACAGTGAACTCAATTTCAGCATGGTTTTTTTCCTTGTACACTCTGGTAATCTGCAAAATAACAGACCCATCACAAGATGAATCAAGAGTTATAGCTTCTGTAATATAATATAAATAGTCTAGAACAATAGATACTTGCAAGAGAAAATGACCTGTGATATCCAGGAGTTAAAGTCCTGATGCACTTCATCAAACAAAGGCCCCCGAACAACAGTCAGTTGAGCCTGAGTCAGGCTAGATAATTAGTTTTATTTTGTATTTTCACATACGGTCAAGAAATAAGGTTATAAATGTAGCATATATGTATTACCTCTCCTTCGGATTTAACTGGAACCACACCATCTGGTCGAAAAACATATGCTCCAGAAGCCTTATAAATATATGAGAAGGGAACTGTTTAAAACACGACAAGAAGATATAGATAAGGTTGTATCTGTTAAAGAACTGAGCTACCTGTGGATCCTTGTCAGTTCCATTGCTTCCTATGTAATAAGCATATGATTGTTCAGCAGTAACCTTGAAATTTACCACAAATCGACATCAGATGATCTAAACATACTCAGAATGGCAAAATAAGGAAGTTTAGATTGAGGAAAAAGGCAGACCTGATTTCTTGTACTTAAATGACGAGTCATTTTCACTCCCTCTTCTGAATAAAGTAACTTCAGATTTCCTTGGCCAACTTCTACATTCTGATTTATGTTTCCAGAAGTAACATCTGACGCAGGTGGTCCACGCGCTTAAATCAAATAAGAAAACAAAGATGCAAGTAAATACAAAATGTCTGTTGATATCAGTGAGAACCTATAGTTCACAAATTAAAAATTAGCAACACAATATTACACATTCTGAAACATACCTGTTCGTCCAGTGTCTGAGATGACATACGAGCTGAACCCAAGAGGTGGTACTGAAGCTGTAAATGCAAGCACATGTTTAGCAGTATCCCTTGGTGATCTTCCTAGATACGCTTTGACATACTCATTTCTTATTCTCAGCGTAATGTCTGAAAGAGGTAGAAGCTGAGACACAACTTCTTTCCCAGATGCATCTTTCACAATAACATTTTTAGATGACACCTAAACGAAGTTATCATGGACATTTCATAAATGCTGGGATGAATGCCAAATAATATTGGATAATAAACAAGGAAAAAAAATACTTACAGGAACACGAACAATTTCCTCTCGTTTCCATCCAAGAGAATTGTAAGCAACAACCACCTACACGGAGAGATTAGTGAGAAATGAAGATAGGACAACTAACCGAGAGACACAAAATTTCATAGTTTAAAGGTAGCATGTCTGAAAGATATACCAGGCTTTTCCCACTGGACAGACGAGCTTCAGATGCAGGACAGTAACTGATATTAAGTAGGGGACACTGCCAATATGATGCAAAACATAAGAATCAGCATAAATAGAATACAATACGTCTTGGAACTTGAGTCATTAAAGTGCCATGCAATTGACAAAGCAGCCTTACTAAAACTTGTACATTGCCTGAAGCAACATCATCATCATCTTTTAAGGAAGCGAAATAATTACCACTCAAATTCGATCTCAATGCATACTTTGAATCCTAAAAATATCTTAGACAAGCACATTACCTGCTGAAATTTTGTGCCAGGATTCTTCTCTTCAGTACTTGATTTTGCTGCTGATAAAAAGAAAAGGGAGGAGGCAACCAACTTCTCAGCCTAGTAATGATCAAAGAGAAATATTTAAACTGCTGCACCAACAAGAGAAAAACGAATTGCATGGACAACACATGACATGACTAACTAAGACAACCTGCAGGTAACCCATTGAGAGTCTAAGAGCATAATCTGCAGCCACATGTTGTCTTTGTGTACCACTAACTGCATCATGGTGTTGAGCAATTGCCAAAGCATCGGCTAGCATATCGGTTGTTGGTCCTGAACTATTCCTACCTCTAAAGAATTCCAATTGTCGAGCCGCCTGTTTGAAAACAAACAATGCTATGTAAGAATAGAGCAAAAAGACACTACAAATCTACGAATTTTAGAAAATTATCAGGCCATACCAGATAGTAACCACTTAAATCCCTCACGTATTTCTTAAAGGCTGGCCTGCTCGTAAAGTACCCTGTCCAGTATGCATTAGGTTTGTCCGCATACCTGGCACAGGTACATATATATTTATTCAATCAACACGTATTTGCATTTGTAGAACGTAAAAATTTGAGCTATCAAACTTACGGGAAGAAATCATCAGTCTTTAGGGGCCAAGACTCATTTGCAGCATATTTTGCATCGGTGTAGATAGACGGTGTTGAATACAGAACATTGAGACGCCCGTCCTGGATTGTGCAGACGACAAGTGAACAAAATTGGTATAGTTTACATTGACACTAGTGAAGTCCTACTGATATGAATTTGCTAGTATAAAAGTTACCAATTTTACCTTGTTAACATAGTGAATAAACTTGTCCATCTGTCTGAACCATGAATATGCATACTGGTAACGGAAGTCAGTTCCCATTAACCACATGATATGGTTTGTCCTGGTTACGTTGACCTTGAAAACAGAAATCCAAGTTAAATTACAAACATATCATATTGAAGTTTCTTTGATTGTTGTTGATTTCAAGAAAAAACGATATGATCTTACCTGTGCAAGGGCTGCAGCTACAAAGTCGTTGACTCGCTCTTGAACATTGTAATCAAAAAGGAGAGGATCATCCTATACTCAACATGCTTCATCAGTGCACTTTCAAGCTAAGTTCAAACACAGCGCAGCATGTGAAATAGCTTTTACCTGGACAGGAGCTGATACATCGTTTATTTCAAATGTGAAACCATCAGGAGGATCGTAATGTCTAGGGAATACACCGGTGAATATCTACAAGTAATATCAAATAGCAATGAGATAAATCCAGCTAAACAATGGAGACAACAGAACTAGACTGTGAGCATTTTGAACCTGTGAAGATGAGCCAAGGGACTTAGATCCTTGCCAAATAACCTCAAGAGTCTTGTCTCGTAATCTCTTTGCACGATCTTGGTAATCAATTCTAGCGAAAAACAGTGAGTCAAAGCCAAACTGTAGAAGAAACCAAAGGGTTGTCCAATCAAAATAACTTAAAGCTGATAAATAGGCCAATCATTCACAAACTGAACTCAATTAAATTCTCTGTGAAACGAAAGGAACCAAACGGTGAACTTAATCATACCTCTGCCCCAAGCAAGTAAGCTTGCACTGCAGAATGTCCAAAAGGATCAATCTGCCAACCAACTCTAGGGACCTGACCAAACTCAGCTTTAATAAACTGATGGCCTAATGTAGTCTGATCAATCATGTCAATATAATGTGGAGTCGCCTCATCATGCATACACATTCCACCATTTCTACAAAAACCACACATCAACAAAACATATACATCCAAACAAAAATTAAGATCAAAATCAAACGCACATGAACTCAAGTTGACCAGAGTCAACAAGCTTCTTGACTTTAACTTTTTTAGCTTTGCTTTGTTGCCTCCACCATCTTTCAAAAAACGCCTACAAATACAGCATTCAACCATAGCTAATTTCATCAAGCAAGAAAATAATCAAAAATAAAATGAAAATCTCCGGATTTGGTATTTATGAATCTTACCATCTCAACATATATAAACTTTCTATTTTCATCATCAAGCAACGAAGCGATTACAGAATCCAATACATTCTGTACACAAGCTCCCTGATTCAAAATCAAATTCAAAACACAATCAAAATCCCTAAAAATAAAAAATCGCAGGATCAATGGAAAGAGACATATATATATATAGAGAGAGAGAGAGAGAGGAGAATAAAAGTACCCTAATAGAGTTATTAGAACCAACGTAGTACTGATCAACGGTCTTAAGCCAACCAACGTCGTCGTGTGAGTGAGGAACCAAGTGAACATTGATTTTTTCAGGTACGATTCTCGGTTTTGTGTTGTACTCTATGTACTCGGAGTTCACGCCGCCGATTACAATCGCCGCTAAAATCAGATAAAGAGAGAAACATTTGACCGCCATAGACGCGAGAGCTCTCAGAAGAAGAAGAAGAATAAGATTACAGAGAGGATCGTGAAGAACAATTTGTAGTGAGTGTTTTTGTAGAGGAAGAAAGAAGATTAAATAAAGTAATCACTGTCACTTAAATTTAATATATATTTATTATCTGAGCTTAATTGTGGTATTAATAAATAATTTATTTGAGATTAGTAGACTTTATCTTATCCACTTATTAACCAATAAGAGCACAATATTATATGTATTAAAGTTTTATAATGTGAAAAAAAAAAAAAAAAGGGTTTTATAATGTGTTAAAGAAATAGTGGTAGAGTTGCTTGTGGGAGAAGTGATAAAAATGGTCCATTGTCGTTGTTTTGATGACATATTATTGCAAGCCAAATCGAATCAAATGATTGCTAATGATTTTTATTTTTTAAGTATTGTATTTAAGTTTCTTTGATCGTATTTGAAGGTCAGATACTGTATGTATAGAGATGAAATCGAGTAAGGTTGAGCCCAGTCCATATAGAGTAAAAAGCCCATTCTTAATTTAAATACATTAGTCAGTCCAAATTATACTACACCATATGCATGAAGTCATGAACTGACACTAGTTAAAGACACAAGTACCTATTTAAGTAGGAAAAAGAAACTAATCACAAACTTTACGATGACAATCAAAACCATACACGAAATACAATATGACTAGCATAATTCGAATTATATAAAATTATGTAGATCGATTGTACGGAGTTTGTATTCATTCACTAAAGGGGTAAATGAGTAAGAGAAGAGAATGCTTGTAGCCTTGAACCCATGACTCAGATTTTCAAAACAAAGTAGTATTCTATCAAATTATGTGCATCCACATCTTTGATATTTTTCTTCTTTCTAATATTATTAATATATGAACACACTATGATTTGTTTTCTGTTTAACCTATTTTATTTGATTCAAAATGTGTATCAACATTTGTCAAACCTTCATTAAATGCAATAAACACAAATAAATTTTCTTATATACAAACTACTAAACCAATCTAACCATTATTTTTTAAACTATTAAACCAACATCATAATTTTGATAATGTTTGATAATGTTACCGTTCATTTTACTATGGACAAAAGATTTGTGTCATTATCCGGGTTTGTATGTTATGTGTTAATACAATCGATGGTAACTCATCATATTATAACTGCGGAGAATCTCGAAAAGGCTATAAAGCGGCCATTAGTTGTGAGACTTTAATTTATTTTATTTTCTTCGAAAACTCAGTTAGTTTGATGAGGGTCAAAAGGTTATTTTTAACCCACTAAAATAAATTTTTAATTTTTTCATTTATCAGAACTATTTTTAATTTAATATCATCATTTACATACTAGTTTTCAAACTAACCTTCTAAAAGCATCCACATCCGCGTATATAAAGTAGATATGTTTTATTAAAAAATTAAAAAATCGAGAGAAAGGGAGAGATGATTCTCAACATCAAACTTGACAATTGAATTTTTACTAATGGTTCACTTATTTAAAACAACCAAAATATCATATAATTCTATATATAAAAAATCTTCTGGTTTATAATTTTTGAATATGAAACATTTATTTGAATTAATATAAATAAATAAGAAATCTAAAAGTTTGTTATTGTAATATAATTGATAATTATTAATATCACTATTAGTAATATTCTATCTTGAATAATTATAGCCATCTCATTAGTTTAATATATTAATTTTTAATAGTTTAATTAAAAAAATACTTACAAAAGGTAAAAGACAAAACAATGTTTTAAATATATATATATATATATATATATATATATATATATATGT